CCTTACAAATCTGACTCTAAGGCTACCGCTTGTAGGGTCTCAACAATTCACATTGGACTAATGATGTATGGACATATTATTGACAAGGAAGGAGAATCTCGGTGATATTTTGACTTGGGCGCGCAGTCAATAGCTCAGGGAATCGGCTCAGGGAGCGATAGGTGACACCTATTCGTTTGTACGAGTGCGAGTATGTTAGTAACTAGTAGAGTTTGCCCATTTGAATGGGTGAATCATATGTGGGCTCAAACTAGTTCTTTAATAAACCGGTTCCTTATCCTAAAGGGTAGGTTTTGTTCTATACTCTACACTATATATATATGCACTTATGTAGAGATTAAATAGACACACAGAGAGAGGAAACATATACTACTGTCATTTCCTTCCTCTTCATCAATCTATGATTTATACGTTAGTTACGGGGTGATATGTGAGGGCTTCTTGTCATATCGATGTGGTTTCCCTCTGGGCGTTGTCTGAGAATCGAGATTAGATTCGTGGCGACCCTTTCAAAAAAATCCTGGAAAGGTAATCTTAAATAAGAGATCTATATATTCATATTTATACATGGCGTATAGATCTCAAGAGGCACATTATTCTCCATTTATTGACGTGATGAGGTACCTTTGAAAGCTTTCTTTCGCAATTCAGTTTTGTCAGTTTTGTCTGCTCTCTATTTATTACCAAATGGTATCATTGCTTCATTAATCTCTAAGGTCTGCGAAAGATCAAACTTGTCCTGAAAAGATTCAAAAATAAAAATCTAATAAGTAAAAAGTTACATGGATTAATAAGTAATAATTTTATATAGTTTGCAACTTTTAAGAATGTTTTCTAATGGAGACATTCAACTCCTCTTTCCTTTTTATATCATTTTCTATATATATAGGAACCTTTTTTTTTTTTTTGGGACTTGCATGGTTATCAACATTACTTCTTTGCTATACTTGAAACAATTAACAAAATCGCTCTGCAGATATTAACGATCTCCGTAAACAAAAGAAAGTCAATCATGGTCCATCATTATGGCAAGATCAGTTTTGATTTATTAACGATCTCCGAGGGACTACGGATCTGATCAGAACCGACCCCCACATAATTGGAGGCGAAACTCAATTAATTTTGCTCTCTACGGAGGCTCAAAACCGGCCACTCACGCGCGTTAGTTTTTTGCGAGAAAGCGTAGTCACTATGACCGGATTCCTACTCTGACATGATTACTACAACCAACTAACTTTCAACTGTACAATGAACTCCTCCTGCTTTCTTGGTGGTGCAATAAATATATAGGAGTGGGCGACGCCCACGTACAAATCAAACTCCGCATCCGATCCCTTTCTCCTCTAGCAAACCTACCACCCAATCACCCTCCCTCGTCGATCTCCCCTCTTTCCAAATTCCCCGAGTCCCCATGGCCTCCCTCAATCTCCCAATCAAACCAACGACGTTCCCTCCAAAAACCGTCGCCTCCTCCAATGGCTTTCTCACCACCCCGCTCCCGCGGGCCTCGTGTTCGCCTACAAGGATCCACCGGCAGCCTACAGCGAAGCTTGCCGCGAAGAACCGCCAATCCCCGGCTGCCATCCGATCCCCTCACCACACTCCTTCCCCTCCCTGTCTCCGCCATTCCACCGCTCCCGTCGGCCGACATCGCCATCCTCCCGTCGAGTCCAACAATCTCCGCGCCTCCCTCGCAACTACGACCTCCTCCTCTGCGACAGCGACCTTCTCATCGCCAAAGAATCAACCTCTTCATCCAATACTTGCCTCCTCGCCGTCCCCGGTGCCAACCCTCACGATCTCGCCGCGTCAATCAGGCCACCGCCGATCGCCCTCACGCACGTGCGCCAGCGCGCTGTCCCGCGCTAGGGCTCCGCCTCCGAGCCCGTCGACGACACCCGCGGGAGCCGTCAAACAATCCTCCAGTCCGCCCGTCTCCTCGACACCGCCGCCATTGCCAGCCCCCGCACCGCCACCATCTACGGCCTGGACGTGATCGAGCATGGCATCCAGGACGAGAACTGGAATGTCACCCGATTCCTCCTCCTGTCCAAGAATCCCGAGCCAATTCAATCACCGAATTCATCATCATCGTTCATGAAGACTAGCATTGTCGTCGCCCACCGTGGCGAGTCGATGCCTTTATTGCTGAAAGTGTTATCTGCGTTCTCGTCGAGGAAAATAAATCTGACGAAGCTGGAGGTGAATAATCCGACGATGGATGGGGAGTCACCGGTGTTGGTTATGGACAGACGAGGGTCGCTGAGGTCGTTTCCGCATGTGTTGTATGTGGATTTTGAAGGGTCTGTTGAGGATGAGAATGTGAAGGATGCGGTCGACGAGATTTCGAAGATTGCGGTGTTTGTTCGGATCTTGGGGTGTTATGCTGCGGATCCGAATGTATATGATCTTCACTAGTCCACCGCGAGAACTCAATCATACAGTTCTGATCTTTTAAATATTTAGATAAAAAAATGATTTGAATGTATGCCATATTTAGCGAGATAGCATCAAGAGATGCACGAATATCTGAAGTTAATTATACTGATGATATAATTAAACTTCGCTTTTATTTGCACATCCCTGGATGTATGGCACCTGTGACCTGCAATAAAAGTAATAAATATTTTTCCAAGAGTTGTGTAAAGCCCTGATAATCGTTCGGATTTGTTGCTCTTAGCTCAACATTACTTTAGGTATATCATGATCCCTGGTTATGGAGGTCATCATCTGAAGATGAATTTGATATTCTGCCTAGCAGTCATCTCAATTGAATTCAACTTAATAATAAGAACACGCGTCCTCATCGAAGAGACATATCTGAATCTCGCTAAGAGCATCTAGGAAGCTCTTTGCATTCGGATTATCCTCATAATCCTCAATAAAATTGTCTCCCTTTGTAGTCCACCCGGTGAACCACTTTAACAATCTTTTTATTTCTAGATCTTGTACGGACTAGCCTCAAATCTCTGAGTTGAACCGTATTCTGACTCGGGTATTACCACCTCAATACTCACCAAAATCTCCTGCTCTCAAGAGAAAATGGATCTTCTAATGAAAAGTATCTCAAACTACTCAGCCCCGGACTAATGTCAAAATAATTATTTTTTGTATTTTAAGAGAAGAATTAACACACTCTAATTATGAATACAATAAGATTATTAGCATTTATGTTAGGTATTGTTCTTCCCTGAATAACATTCCATCTCATCAAGCCTTTTATATTAATAATAGAATTACATCCCAAATAAAGAGAAGAAGGCTTGGGGTCTTAACCATGTTCTTCAAAGATATAAATTTTAAAATCGTTATAAAATTTTTAAAAACGGAATATTAGATCTTAGGCTTTGTTTGGGTACCATTGTGTTTTCTTTGTTGTGTTTTTGTAAGAAAACACCATGGTGTTGTGTTTTTCTCTTAAAACGTTTTTGTTTTCTTTGTTGTGTTTTTGTAAGAAAACACCATGGTGTTGTGTTTTTCTCTTAAAACGTTTTCAAAACATCATGTTAAGTATTTTTGGTCAACACTAGTTTGACCCATTACAACATTAGTATTAAACATATTATTAATATATTATATATTAATTATAATAAAATATATTATAAATACAATGTTATAATATTTAGTTTAAATTATTATAGTATTAGAAGTATTAAATATAATGCAATATAAAATCGATTAATGTATTATAATATTATGTTGTACTTAATGAGTTGTATTATATTATAATTATTACATATTATTTTCAAATAATTATATATTTAATTATATTGGTATATCAATTTGTTATTGTTATATATTATATTAATATTTTTGTAATAATGTTATTTTATTATTAATATAATATTATACTATTATTAATATAATATAATATTATATTATTATTCATATAAAATAATATTATTAATAATGTTAATATTATGTTATTACTAGTTATATTATATAATATTTTATAATTATTAATTTATTATAGTTTATTTATTAAAAAGTTAATAATATTAATATAGCGATTATACTATTGTGTAGTTTATTATTATTATTATATTATTATTTATTATCAATAACTTTTTTATTAGTTTATTTATATATTATTATTATTTATTATTATATAATACATTGTTAACATATTAAATACTAGTATTTAATATGTTATTATATTGTTATATAAGATATTTTATTTATTATATTTTTATATTATTTAATAAATATTACTAATATATTAGATTAACTATAGTATAGTATAGTATATTATAATAAGCATGTTGATAATAACTCTATACTAATTACATTTAATATATTATGTTAGATATTATATTAAAACATTCTCAAACTCAAAACTAAAACATCAAACTTAAAACAACTTTTAGGTGTTTTGAAATAAGTGTTGTGTTTTTTGTTTGAGGATGATTTAGCTCAAAAAACACCATGGTTTCCAAACACATGGTGTTTTGTTTTTGGCAAAAACACCATGGAAATAAGTAAAACACCATGGTATCCAAACGGAGCCTTAGGTTTTTGAGATACTGGTCGCGAAATCATCTATTCAGACAAGTCCCTCAAATTTTTTTCTGTAAAAATTTAAGTCTCTCAAATCATCATATTTGATACAAGTCCCCCCTTATTTTATGTATTTGGCTACAAGTCCCCCAAATATGGATATATGGTACAATACCCCCAAAACTTTTAAATTCTTTCAAACAAGTCCCCATGATTGATTATCATCCATTTAACACAACTTAAATTTTTACAGAAAAAAATTCTGTAAAAAATAATTGAAAATGAATCAAGATAACACGCTGGGTCGCACGTCATTGAGTGTTCAACAACGGCACGTCATTGGGTGTTCAACAACGGGCTGTCGCTATCTCATTCCGTCCGGCCCTCGAATCGGATACTTTACTACATCCGTCCAATCGTTGGCATTGTTTCTGATGCACCTTCAGGGCGATCGACCTAAACTATTTCGCCTACGTGGCAAATTATTACGGGCTTGTGCTAATATAAGCGTCGCTTGCGTATCTTAAAAGCTCTCGTCCCATCCCTCTTGATTGGTTTCTAGGGTTTCATCTGCCTCTCCGGTTCGATTCCAAGGTGAGATCTTTCTCAGAAATTTCATGATTTTTTCAGTGAATTCATCAATATTCCTGCAGTTATTCAGATTCCTGATCCCTTTTTGTGATTGTGGAAATCCTGGTAGAGATTAATGTCAAAATATTGAGAAATCTTTGCTCTTTGCCTTATTTTTTACGATTGAGCCATCCACTTGGATTTTCTTTGTAGATTTTTGAGTTTTTACGTGAATTTACTGTTTTTGCGTGTCATTTTTAATTTTAGGTTTATTGCATTAAGTTTGATGCTATTTGTTGACCGAGAATGATATTTGTGGTCGTCGATGTTGTAAATGGAAGTTTTTTTTCGATCATTGTGTTTTCTTAAGTAAAAAGAAATAATTTAATTGACCTATTTAATGCATTTAAGGATAAGATCAAAGAGAACTAATAGATCATTATGTCCTTGTTTGGAGGTTTTGTTCCTCCTTCAAAAACTTCAAATATTTAGAGTTGTTTAAGCTCAAATGCCCCAAAGTTCGCGTCAATTTTAACTTTGATAATCCAAAGTTTTTCTTGCCCACTTCATAACCCAAAGTTCAAAACTTTGAACTTTAGCAACCTAAAGTGACTTATTAGGGGTTTCAAAGTTATACTTTTTTGAACTTTGTGGTAGTTTTTGGTATCAAAATCAGAAATATTGTAAACTTTGGGGTATCTAATTGCACATAACCCAAATATAAAAGAAACTTTTATGAGTTAAGATGATATTTTCATGGCATGGTTGTTTTATCATGTGCTGTTTTAAACTGTAACTGAATTAGATAATGGTGAGTTATACAATATAATTGCAAATATGATTGGAATTATATACGAATAATCATATTTGAGTTGAATGAGTAATGCAGTGGCAACCATCAACATAAATATAAAAAATATCATCATGTTGAAGGGCTAATAAACTAAAAAAAGAGAAGATGCAACTTACAACAAGAAGAAAAATAATAATTTGATTGTTGGTGCATTAGTTGTTCCTTGTGCTACAGAAGGCGCGCTTCACAGAAGAACTAGCTTAGAGACCTTTTTTTGGCCTACTAAATGGCCATTTCTTGGCCCAGTTTTTACTAAACACTTATCTCCAAAATGCGACTAGGGCCAAACCTTGTCCCCTTTAAAGGAGTTGCTTGACAGGCCCTCAAAGCCAGGTTTAATCTATCCAGTTTTTCGAAATTAAAATACTAGCAACATGCTTGAAATGTCTCTGCCTCATTTTGTCTTGCCAAAAGTTAGGCCAAACAAGGGCGTTGAGCTCTTGATGCTCATGCATGAGGTATATGCATGAGGTATATGATCACTTTACTTAATTGGACTTGTCATAGTCTGTTCAATATTTGTGAGAGTTCATTTATACCTTGAGGTATATAATCCATTGACTTGATTTTACTTGTCTTAATGTGTTTGGTGTTTGTAAGAGTTCATTTCTCCAATTTGATCCTTTTTTTTAAACTTTTTTATTGCATATTTAATGGAAGTATATTCTCATCTTTTACTTACTATTTTAGTTGAAGCAATCACTTGATTAACATTGTAGAGAACTCTAGGCTAGCTAGTAAGAAGTTGATATCCATTTGGCACCTAGCTTCTAAGTGAAGTTAAAGTAAAATGCTTTGGCGTACCCGGTACATACTAATTAGTTGGTGAGGATGCTCCACATTTCTCTTTAATATTTGATTGTCTGAAATGGTCACAATACTTAAATATTTTGCACCCTAAAATTTTTATTAGGAATGAATAAATTAGCTTATAAGTTATTGGTACATATCGATCCAAAGGTTTTTCATGGAAGCCCTGACTGCGTTCCTCATCATTTGGTCAAGTTCATGTGGTCCACGATAATCATGGGTAAATATCCGCTTCCTTTACAGTGATATGATTTCAATCCATTAAAGTTTGGTCCTTTAGCTTATTTTTATGGCTTTGGTGGATATGAGGAGGTGTAAGATTTCGAAGCATGGATTCAAGATATATAAGATATTTTTTCTAAGATATTTTTCTATCTGTGAAATGTCAGAAGTAGAAAAGCATTTGCATACCAAGTGTAGTCTCAAGAGAAGCTCAATAATGGTGGTCTAATAATTATTGAGTTCCCATTTAGCTACCTATTCATGGGAACCAATGAAGTCTCTTCTCGACAGGAGATTGTTGACTACCTAGAAGATATATTGTTCCTCCTCCTGAAGCTCAGCTAATGCTAATATCCCGACTCCAGCCAGATGTCGACTTGTAGTTTGAACTTGTGTTCAATGTTTTAAATGTCGGATGTCGGGTTCATGTCGGTCGGCCAAAATTCATGTCGGATAGCGGAAATCGGGGATATATCGGGGGACATGAAAAAAATATCGGATTGCCATATCGGATAGGTTGATATAATATCATAAATGGAATCTTCACATACTTGATAATTATATTGTCTAAACATATGATTATTGATGTTAGGATCACTAACCAATTGTAGACACCTGATTCCCGAGTGCATATTGACACCATCCGAATGCTTGACCTACATAATATCATAAATGGATCACTAATATGGCTTATTGGGTCGGGTCGGGTTCAAATTCGACCCAATAAGCCTAAAACCGATATTTAACAAAGTTGGCCGATTTTTGATCCCCGAAATGGCGCCCGCAATGTCCGATTTTTTCCGATATATCCCCGCCATGACCCCAAAAACGCAATACGAGTTAAAATCAGCGATTTCGTATCGGCTAGGCAACAAAACCGCAATATCGGCCGCCATGTCCGCCATGGCGGCCGATATTTAAAACACTGCTTGTGTTCAATAAAAAAACTATTGGTAGATCCAAAGACAATATTGGAGATTGAACCATAGTCAAACGCTCGAGCCAGAAGCAGAAGCAAATACAAATTAGAAGGTTAATCCAAAGGTGAACCTAATTTGGAGTGGGAAGCATATCAAATATGTTGACCAACTAGAAGATATTATTGTTTCTCCTCAAAGCCTGAAGCAAAGCTAATGCAAGTATCCCGACTTTAGCTAGATGTGAACTTGTAGTTTGAACAAGACAAAATTGGATATTGAACTATAACCAAAACCCGAGCCAGAAACAGATGCAAATTAGCTGGTCAATCCAAAGGATGACCCTAATTTGGAGCTGAAAGCATATGAAATGAATCCGGAGCAAGGTCTTAAATATCGGCAGATAATTTGATATTATTGTCGAGTTATCGATTTTGGTAGCTTTCTGCTAGAATAAGTTGGATTTTAAATCAGTTATCGTTTTTGGGGGTTGTCGGCGATAATGCAACGATAAAGGTACTTATCGGCCGATATTAGCGGCTCTAAAAATCGTACTTATCGGGCCAAATTATTGGGTTGTGATTTCGGGCCAAATTGTGGGTTTCATTATGCAATCAAGAAGCAAGATTCACTTTCTACAATTGGTTAGTGATTCTAAACATGATTATTTACATTTTAATATTTCATTAAGTATGGTTAGATCACATTTTAGGGTATTATATTATATATATAACATCTGGTACATCACTTCGATAAATATTACTTATCCTCGATATATTCTCGATTTTCGCTATCCGATAAGGATTTTGGTCGTCCGATAAATTTCTGATAACCGATATTTAAAACATTGATCCGGAGCTAGAGCATGAAGAGATCTCGAGCCAGAAACCAAGTTTCAACAAGAAACCAAGTAGAAACTTGATTCAAATCTCGAGCTCGAACCTATATTCCAAAATTGAAGTGCAATTTGAGATACTTCCTGGATGTAACTATTCGATAATAAAGTTTGCCATTCCAGATCTATTGTCACCTACTCGATATTGAGTTTTACAACTCATTTTGAAGATACTATACTCCGTGATAGAATTCTTTCCATCGGCTAACGGAGCCATTGTATTCTCCCATTATAAAACTCCATGTCGGCTTTTCTCTAAAAGGGAAGGAAAGTTTTGATGCAGGACAACTTACAGCGAATTACTATGGTTAGGATTAGGAAACATATGATTAGAATAATGTTCTTGGATTTTTATTTGATATTTTGGTTGGATATTTAGTTGATTTTTTGTTTCGTTAGTTGTGATTTGTAGTTAGGATTGAGATTTATTTTCTATTGTCCAAGTTTCTTTATAAATAACATGTATTCTCTATTTAAGTGATAGGTTATTAATGAATGAAATATATGGGTTGAGATTAAGCATGTGAGTTGCTTCTTATGTGTTTAGGTATGGGATTTACCTACGTCTGAAGCCCAAACCTTTATCTGTATTTATTTTTCCTTGTTATTTGCTTTCCTAGCCCAATCATCTCCACCTTACAATCTAAAAAAATTAAAAAAATTAAAAGAACTGTTCACTGATTTTTATTCACATGTCACTGTTCACGGTCCACACTCTTCCCTGTTACTGTTCACGCAAAAATGCTGTTCCAGACCCAAAGTTCATTCATCAAAACTCTCGCTGAAATCTTAATGCAACTTCATTGTGATCTGTGGTCAATTAAAGCTGTTATAATCCATTGATCTTATATTGAACTAATCTCTACATTGAACTTCATTGCAAGATCTGGTTCCCGAGCCTTTGATTCAAACACTGAGTGCTCTAGTGGGAATTGCAGATCGTGCTGGACTTCTCTCCTCAGGTTCTTTGCGAACATCCTCTTTATTTTTACTGTAGTTTGCATCTTTTTTTTATAGATTTCATTATTTACAGTTATTTTTTGCTTTGCATATCGAAAAGGTTACTGTTTACGGATTACTATTCACATGCCACGTGTCCCCTTTCACGCGCCACTATTCGCGGCGGTTATTGTCCATGAAAAAAAATTGCTGGTTTAGATCCGAAGGTCATTCATCGAAGCCCGTGATGCGCTCTTCATCACTTACTGGCTTGAAGTTTGAATATATGAGGAAAAATAGGGAAGATATAGAGTTTTGGTTTCCTTTTTCCTTCTCTCTCTCTGTGTGTGTGGAGGGGGGGATAGATGCAAATGTTTTATGTTCTATATACTTTTCCCCCGTTGAATGTTTTAGGTGTTAGGGGCTTAGTTAATAAGAAAAATAAGAAAATACAAATTTTGGTTATGTTATACATCCTTCCCCCCTTGACTGTTTTAGGTGTTAGGGGCTTAGTTAATAAGAAAAATAAGAAAATACAATTTTTGGCTCAAGAAAGATAGGAGATATGCTGCAAACAATTTAAGTGGTTGCTAGATGTAGTGGGCCCACAACATAGTCTTCTCAAATTGTAGCACCCTCGTTATAAGAATGAATCTCTTTTATGCTTTGAATGGAGATGTGGCAAATTCAATCTACCTTGGATTGGGGCCTCAAGTCCATACAAATGAAGTACTGAATTCAGTGTTATCAATGTGCGAGGCGCAATGCAGAGCACAAAGTCCTTTTACGTGCACATGCGTAAGGCGTAATGCGATGCGCACAATCGAGTAACGCTAGGTGCATATCGCACACAACATAATTTCTTCAAGATAGATAAACAAGCACGAAAGAACGTGTTTATGAATTGACATAAAAACATGTCAAGATAAATAACATCTACTACCAAATTGCAAAATAAGTTCTTTATTCATAATTTTAACACATCCAACATAGTAGTAAAGTTCAGAAGGTTCTAAATCAAAAGTTAAATCAAGACTAATATTAAAGCAAAATCAAACAATAAATGAAGATAATTTAAATTCCTCAATTAGGCTACTAAAAAGGCCTAATGTTCTTATTTTTCTTTTTGGGATATGAGTTATCGGTTATAAAGACCCAAGTGGAATGCTGAAGGACAAAAATATAGAAGGCTATGCCTTGCATTTGGCCTGTGCAAAGCGCCCTCGATGACGTGCAAAAGGGCGCTGCTGCAGGGCTCTCCGCCACTGTCCTGCATCGCAGGGCGCATGAGGCGCAATAATGTGCGCATGTCTCTGGTAACACTGAGTGAATTTTATCCAAAACTAGATCTGAGCACCCATGCAATTCAATTGTGATAAAAAAATGGGCCATTGATCGAAGTTTTATATTTCCAATCACTCAAAACAGATAATCGTTTTTATATTTTAAATTTTGACGATCATGTTTACTATTATGTTTCTTTAATGCTTCATACTTATTTAATTATGAAGATCATGGTGATGAATGGTGTGGATCATTCATTTAGGTTGATTCAGTGGACCATGATAGCTCTTTTAGCTGCAAATGTTTGAATTTCCTACACCAGGAGCTCAATCTTGTTTTCTAATTTACATTCATGAGCGAAAGAGGGTTTACTCAAATTTATCTCTAGTTTAATCTATTAGTTAGTTATTTTTCTCCTGTTTGACAGCCTTGGTATCAGAAGGGAGTTTCTTTATTTGGGAGGTTGTTTACTCTGTCCCTTTTTTCTCTTTACTCTAGTAGCTACTTTCTCCCATTAAAAAATCTTCAACCTTGGTATCAGATTGTTTATTGTAATAGAAAAAATAATAGTAGATATTGCTATGAAATAATAGAATCAAATTAATCATCAAAGTGAGCTTTAAAATATTCTTCCTAGAAATGACATGGCTTATATTTTTATTTTAGTATGTGACTTTTGCCAAATGAGAGATTTAAAAATCAAGTGTCAACTATCAAGAATTAAACTTAACAAAATGCCAAAAGTTTATGCACTGATGCATTTATTTAGACAACCTTCAAACTGTTTTCTGTCACTGTAATCTTCAATATTGTTTGCGCAATGTTTAGCACATTTGAAAGCATATGCCTGTCTTAACTGAGAAAGGCATGCAGTTTTATACTCCCTTTACCGATGGAGGATTTGTGCACCTCAATGATGCACTGTGTTTGATATGTTAATATTCAATAGAGTGAACTGGATATGAAGATATTTAAATTGGAGGTATTGAAAATCAAGCATGCATTATCTTGTCGTGTTTACCTAGTTCTTGGCATGTTAATTCTAGTAATTTGGTTAATTCTTGGTCTCTCCTAGTATATGGAAGATATTGATGTCTAGTTCCTCTCTAATTGAAGGCCTGGGTGGGTGTTTCATACTGTGATTGGACAAAGATGAGGTCTATTTTCTGTGGCAACCTTGAATATGATGCTCGCCAATCAGAACTTGAGCGACTTTTTGGCAAATATGGGAAGGTTGACAGGGTTGATATGAAGTCGGGTAAGTGTATACTTTATTTATAATTTAGATTATTGATCTTTATGCATTCATAGAGGTTAGACATGAAGGTTTGAATGTTGACTTGTGCGAAATATATGTATCCTCGAAGCATGTAGCAAGTAAAGATGAATTTTACATGGCGTCTTTCCTCTACAGGAATTAGCTTATAAAATCAAGAAGCATTTCATAATTTGTCTTCTTTTATAAATATGAGACTGGCCATCTTTGATTCACAAGATTACTTGTTTGATCCACGAAGGAAGCGTTCAATTTGTTTATCGTGTTCTACATGATGTTGACATGCTATATACTTTAGAAATAAATATGACTGCCGAACGTCCTGTCAAGTGTGTTTGAGGCTTCTCGAAAGACATCTTACCGTTTCGTAAATTCTCCCCCCAAAGCATGACCAGTTATTTGTAATAAGCGCAGAAGTTTCTAGCAATAAAAAGCATGTAGCTGAAAATTGGTTCAGAGCAACACAGGTGATCTTGCTGTCCAATGCCATTACTAGTGGGAAAATGGGTCCCTTTTTCAAGGTGAATGTTTGACAGGCTCGAATTCCTTGGTTGCATTATTCTATCCATTTCCAGACAGCATGATGTGATGGGTGCCTGCTTCCTCGGTTTTACAGAGACTATTGGAATCTGGATAAGTTTTAACAAAGTGTAGTTATTGATGGGTAAAACTCCATACTCAACAATTTTTTTGACGCAGGATTATCTCGGAACATACATGCTCTTCCTGGTTGACGGGATGTGCACCACCTTTCCTGCCTTTGTCCGAGTTTATATTATGTTTAGCAGAAGGCTGATCCGAATCATTATTCACAACGGCACCTGATTCACATGGAAACATTTTCCAAGCCACCACATTGCCTTTCCTTTCTCATGAACTTTGCCCTGCCTCCCAATCCAATCATGTTTTCATGCCGATGCAACCCTACCTTTGGATTCTTGTGTCCTGACATCATTTAGTTCAAGGCATGAGGTCTGTTTCTGTTCTATCTGGTCTTAGTTTTAAGCTTTTACAGAATATGGCCAGATGTTTCATATAGTTTGCAGGCTAAGAATTTTGGTGGTCGTCAGCAGCATGGATTAGTCGTTTCTACTTGGAGGGGACCTTTAATAATATTGTTTAAGTTACATTGAAATTCTACTTGATTGCTCTTCCAGGATTTGCCTTCATTTACATGGAAGATGAACGCGATGCTGATGATGCAATACGGGGGCTTGATAGGAGAGAATTTGGTAGGCATGGGCGCCGGCTTCGTGTTGAGTGGACAAAGGTAGCTTCCTATCTATCAAGTATTGAAACTTTGTTTTTACAATGTTACTTAACTTCCTGTTATCTTCTTGCAGCAAGAACGTGGTGGTAGAAGGTCTGGCAGCGAAAGAAGATCACCAGCTAACACAAGGCCTGCAAAGACATTATTTGTCATAAATTTTGATCCAATTAATACCAGGATGAGAGACTTGGAAAGGCATTTTGAACCGTATGGAAAAGTTTTAAATGTCAGGATCAGAAGGAATTTTGCTTTCATTCAGTTTGAGTCACAAGATGATGCCACCAAAGCATTAGAAGCCACCAACATGAGGTACTTACTTTTCCGTACTTTGTGTATTTTGTTTATCTGCAGTTATGAAAGCTCGGTTTCTATTTAGCAGCATGAATGTTGTAGTGAAATCATCACCTTGCTACATGCGTCCATCTTTTTCCTAACTACAATGTTCATGATGTTGACATTGATAGTTCTCTGGTATCGCGGTATACAATTTTTGCTATTGCTTGAGTTCTGTTACTTTGTACTATCCTTGTACTAAGGATCTTTTGTCTTCTATGGAACATGGAAATGGCGTGGCCTATGTTCCCTCAGTACTTCTATTTGGAAGCCGTACCCGTAACCAATGCGTACCTGTACCTGTACCCAAACTTCTTGGACACTTCTTGGATATATGCATACGTTTCTTCAAGTGTATACTTATTTATATACTACATGTTTAAATTTAAAACACATACGCTTCTTGGATGTATACACTTCACAGCTATATCTGATTTATTTCTCTTATATTGATCTCATGTAAATGGATAACCAAATATTGATCTTATGTAAACTATTAATTTTAATACACATACATATTTAGAGCCGTGTCCCCATACCCAATCTTTTACAAACTTGCCGTGTCCCATATCCATGCCCATATCTGTGCCAATACCGTACCCATACCCATGCAACTTAGGGCATGACTCATTTAAATTCTAAAGATTACGCATGAGATGTGTCTGACACGAGATAGTATCATAATAGAAGTGACCATGCTTCACAGGACTTCTATAAGGACAAATGGTAGCATGCAAGTTTATGGGCTATATCTCTTTGATGTTTGCATTAGTCAATTAGTTCTTTTGTTGTAATCTTTTGTATTAATTATCTCTATTTATTCCTATAAATTGTCTGTATTTATAGTGATTCTGTAATACTTTTGTTGCCCAAGTACGACCACTTCTTCAATAAGTATAGCCTAATGGAATAATTAAAACCGCAGAAACTGAATTGCTGTTGATTCTGTGAATGGATGGAAACTGTACTGATTTGGTCTTCTTGATCTGGGAATAGTTTCTAGTTGACACTTGGACTTCCTGAAAGATAATTGCTGATGTCATGAATCTCCTTTTCTCGCTCCTATGATTAGTGCTGTGTTTTCAGTTTGAGTTCATTTGTCTGATCGAACTTAAATCTTGAGGATCCTTCTGCATGCTTTTAGTCTTATCAAGGATAATTTGCTGGATAAGACATACTTTGCATTGACTTTTCTTTTTAAGCCAATGAACTCTGAATATGCAGCAAGTTGATGGATCGGATTATAGCAGTGGAATATGCAGTTCGGGATGATGATGAGAGAAAAAATGGATCCAGCCCAGATAGGAGAGGAAGAGATAGGTATCCAGAAAGGAGCAGTCGTGGTCGTGAGCGTTCAGCTAGTCCTTATGGCAGAGGCGTGGAGAGGGCTAGCCCTGATTATGGTCGTGGTTCCAGTCCTTACAGCAAGCCTGAACAGAGGGGGAGCCCAAATTATGGAAGCGGCGAAAGTCCTGCTAATGAAAGACATCACAGCCGCAGGTGAGCATCATGGGATGTCATACAGTATTATTTATTTATTCTAATAAACTTTTTCCCCTGAATTTTCCTCCTGTTAATATTTTTGGCAATAATTTTGCAGTCGCTCACCAGCAAGGCAAGAGAGAAGTCGCTCACCAGCAAGGCAAGAGAGAAGCCGCTCACCAGCAAGGCAAGAGAGAAGTCGCTCACCAGCAAGGCGAGAAAGATCATAAGATGAATTTTCAGTTCTATCCACCTGCATATCTTAATATAGCGCAGGTAATTCTGTTATGATATGGTTAAATGTTCCTTTAGGCACTTTTATCATGTTTGCTTCTTTGTTGGGGGAAAAAAAAAAAGAAAAAAACTTTATTTAAGCAAGCAGTGCTGTTGGGGATATTGTTTCAAAGGATATCTCTGTATTATCGATTATACTGTTGTTGGTAACATAACTTTGAGTTTGAGTTCAGAGGTTTAAAGTTTTCTTATCTCGGTGCATGTCTCATGAGATGCAATTTCAGTGTGGATATTGCACCGAGAATGTGTTTCTTAGTAGCTAATGCAGATTTATTGCAGTCGTCTTAATATTAATGGAATCTTTATGTACCATTACCTGTTAAGCCTTAACTTTTAGGAGTACAAATGGTTAACCATACGCATGGTGCCATATTGTTATACAAAGTAGCTATAAATAGAAGAACGTTTTTCGTTCTGTGATTAAAATAGTGGAATAGGGCAACAGTGATGCCATATTATGCTAATACACATCTGAATGGTGTTTATGTTACAATTCTGTTTAGTAAGTTTTAATAATGTGAGCCGGTAATTGGTGCTGTCCAAGGCGAAAACCTTGGTACAAATAACGACAATGAACCACAATATCTTGCCTGGTCCTTGGCGAAGGCGCTGTGCGCATTCAAGCTATTGATGAATGCAAGATGTCTTCTCAAAAGGGAATACTTTTCTTTCCTATAACGAACTTTTGTCCCCCTCTGGAAACACATCAGTCTGTTTAAGGATGGGTCGGATGAATTATAAAAGTAAAATTCATTTAATGATTTTGAACTTTGAAGAGTAAGAGTTACCTAAATAAGAACAAAAGATGCGCTTGACCTAATAGAAAGAAGTATTTATTTCATGGAGATTTTAGTTTGCCCAAATCTACTCTTCTGATGATAAATATGCCCCCCCCAAAAAAAAAAAGAGAGAAAAAAAGGAAATTGCGGCATGTTACATAGTAAACGGGGAGGTAATAACCCATACACTTGGAAATATACATTAAACTTAATTTGTAGAGCCTTTCATCACAAGCTCACAATGTTTTTTTTTGGTTAAGACGTCGACTGAAAATCGTGCATAAATTGAGGTTTAGTCTAACCAATGTGGAATATTAAGGCATGGAATTTCAAGAGCAAATGCATATTTGTAGTGCCCAAAACAGGATTCTACATTTCAAGAAAAATGTCTCAAGGAAGGTGCACACAATGTCAAATTTTACTGACAAGCTTCGATGCAAAGATGGAAATGATCGTACCTCAGATTTTTAACAGGTAACATAGTATACATCCCTAGTATCTGATATTTTTAATCTTAGAATGCACTTACCTTTTGTGTTATACTTAGTGTACTAAGAAGAATTAACTTTTGTGTTATGCTTAGTGTACTAACAAGCATCTTTTATGCTGGCAATGGAAGGTTGTGCCTTCTATTGGGGCTTTTGGGATTTCAGTAGTTCTTCCAAAAGTTGGATATAAAATTGGACTAGTTCATAAGATAATTTGTGGAAATTCCAATTTAAGGTAAACACAGAGACCCTTGGTTAGCGTACTTCATGCCAAGGTATTATTGAGTATTGACTTTACCATCAAAGCTTTTGAGAAAGCTTGTGGAGTTTTGTTGTTACCTCTTTATTTGGAGGATCTAACTTCTTCACTAGTGTGTTCTTTTGATCTTTTTTGACGTAGGATGACTTTGGAAGGGGGGCAAAAAAAGTTAGGATTTTATTTGGTTATCTTATTCCTTTCAGTTAAGATTTTATTTGACTTTATCTTTGTCCTTTATGGTTAGGATTTTGTTTGCTATCTTTCTTATTTAGGATCTTATTTGATTTTATCGTCTTACTTTTTTTTTTGAATGTGTGGCTCATGTAATTTACTATATAAATAACATTGTAATCCTTCTTTTGATAGATAGATTATGGAAAAAAAGAGTTATTATTTTGAGAAACCTGTGAATGTGAGTTACGTTGATATGAGGCTAATTTTTTTTCCTTTTGTTATTTTCAAAACCCAAGATCTAGTCATTTGACCCCATGATGATCGTCTTTGTGCATTTATCTGTTATCACCGACTCCTACAATGAGAGCAGCTCCAATGACCCCTATCCTCTGTTGTCTTGTCCATATCTGTCTGATTCTTCTTCTACAAACTTGAAGTGGCAACCCTTAGGTTGTGCGACATCCTTGATCTCGGATGAACCCTGCTGGCCCAAATCCATTTTAGATCAGAAACGAACATTGATTCCCTATTATTATCTGTATTGGGTTTCAAAATATGTGATTATTGTCCACAGGTAACCTGCTTCATAAAAACATCAATATGGGCCTCTACAATGAGGTAATATCTCTCTTTTTGGGGTTTGATGATCATATTTGATGCAAGGTTTTAAGTGTTGGGTGTCGGGTTCATGTCGAATGGCTGAAATCCATGTCGGATAGCGAAAATCGGGGATATATCAGGGGACATTGACTAAATATCGGATTGTCATATCGGGTAGTGCGCATATGTATAATATCATGTCCTAAATGTAATTTAAGCATTTATAAATTCAATATAAGCATAATTTATAAATTCTATAGACTAAACATATAAAAAAGTAAATAATATATGGATTTGGGTTCATAAATTCTTTCTTACGGGTTCATAAGAAACCCATAAACATGAGAACGGATCAAACGGGTTTGGGTATTTATCACTAAATCCAAACCTGGTAACAAAAAACAGATCTTAAAAAAAAGTACCATATCGGCTGATTTTTCAAAGCTAAAAAATAGGCCTATATACCAGAGATGACCCTGATATTTCCGATTTGGCCCTGAAAACCAACATACGAGTTGAAAACGTCCATGTTGTGTTGGTCAAGCCCTCAAATCGATATGTCGTCCGACATGTCGGCCGACATTTAAAACCTTGATTTGATGGTCCATATAAAATATGATTGTTGGATAGAAGATTTAGAAGAATTATTCTTCAAGATGTGTCGGTGTTTATATGCAAAGTACATAAGCTAAAAGCGGAAGCTGAAGCATAGTGATTAAAAGTTAATCCAACTATCATTCATGTGTACATTTATGGATATGTATGAAGATTCTTTTCGCAAGGAGATACTGCTGAAGCATAGTGATTAAAAGTTAATCCAACTATCATTCATGTGTACATTTATGGATATGTATGAAGATTCTTTTCGCAAGGAGATACTCTTAAACATCCATCTGGAAGATATTATTGTTTTTGTTAATGTTTTAGCTTGAGTCAAAGTTAGCACAAATTCCCCAGCAGCCCAGCTCCAGCCAGATGTGGACATGTAATTTGAATTTGAGCTAGATCCAAATTCAGAAACAAAGCCAACGTTAAGAGTTTGATTTTGTGCTAGAGCTAGAGTCAAACCTGGAGTCCGAGACATTTAAACCATAGAATATTGGACTGAAATACTTATTGATAGGAAGCATAGCAAAAGGTGGATCTAGAGTGAGAACCAAAATTAGAACACGAGCTAGATACAGAATCTGATCTTGAGACACAATTTGAGATCATAATGGCTGATTTGTTTTCATTTCAGAATCATTTCAGGATTGACTTTGTTATTTTAGAACTTTCGTCTACTCGTCGAAAGGATTTGGAGACTTTGTAGTCTGCGCAACAATACTTCCCATATGCCAGTAAGGGGTGTGAGAACAAATATTTTGTTTTATTCTCTTTTTTCAAACTCCAGAGCTGGTTATTTGAACCTATTCAATGTCGCCGACGATCCTCCTGCCTTCATCACCCGTCGTCAATTCCTCCAATGACATCAACCCGAATAAAATGCTAGCCTTTGTCAACTCATTGAGATCTATCCAATTTCTTCTTCGACGAAGTTGGATTGGTCATTGGCTTCAATGAAGCCCTAAAACTCCACCAAACCCCGCTGCTCCAGATCCAGTCAAAGATCAGATTCACCCCTCCATTCCCTATCAATCTTCCTTTGGAATGTTATCTCATATTGCCTTTTGCTATGAGGTTCTGAAGTGTACTTGAACTTTAGGATGACATATCCAGTTGCTTCGCATCATTTGAAGGGATAACAGCAGTGATCTACATTGACCGCTGATCTACATTGAGTACTTCATTTTTTTATCTTGTGTCGTTATACATCATAAGCGATATATGGGATGCTGTTGTGCATATCTTTTTTAATCTTGTGTTACTTTTATCAATTGTGCGTTGGCAAAAATTAGGTATCTGCAATACCTGGATTGGGCTTACAGTGTATAAGTTTCACTTTTGTTTATAGGGTGGTGACTTGCTAATCGATGACTAGTTATAGCCAGTAAGGCCGAGTGTAAATGTATGCAGTTCTTTTGTAGGTCTAATCTAGTCTGCAATCGCTGTTGTTGGTACCGTTACATGATTGTTAACTGTAGTATATCAAGTTCGCTTTATTTTGTTCAACTCTAAAGCTTGCATATCTTTTCTTACCTTGATATTCAAGCCACTGTTTGGCATGTCCATTTGCTTTGCACCAGTTAAAAGGATACTAGCAGTGACATTGTTGAAGATAGGTAGTTTAATCTTTTGTCTAATCTTCATATATAGCTTGTGCTGCGGTTCATCATACTCTCAGACCATATACGAGGCTGTGATGCATTAATATCTTGTATCACTTGTATCAGTTGCATGGGTTTTGACTTAGGTACCTGGAAACTATCCGCTCTTACTACTTATGGCAACATCCATTTTGGTTTATGATCATGATTTGCTATCTATGACTTGCTATATCCAAGCAAAAAGCTAGTTTAAACATGTGCCGTTGCTTTTTTAGGTGCATGTACGGACTGCAGTTCCTGCTATTAATCCTAGTATATCCATGTTTCATTTAGGACATCAAGTTAAATTTTTTTCTGCACAACCAAACTATTTCAGGGGGGATGCAGTAAAATATCTGTATCAGCAGATATTTTCGTATCCACGTCCATTATGATCTATGTTGCATGACAAAGGTACGGATACGGGGCACAACAAACTTGTAAAAGGTAGGGTATAAGGTAGGGTATGGGGGACACGACTATATAAATATTTATATACATGTATACATTTGTTTATTGGAATTAATAATTTACATGAGATAAATATTGTTTTTATTTACATGTTATGAGAATTAAAATACCTATTACCATTTTTATGTTTCTTTTATTATGTAGATTATAAATTGGAAAATTGCTAGTTTTTGA